GAACTCAAATCGTCCCACGGCATCTGTCAACTTCAGCCACCCACACACCTGATCGCCTGGTGACCCCGGTGGACACAGTCAAGCACGGAAAGCAACATTAGACATGTCGGAGGCACACGAGCTAGAAGTTCGGTTGAAAAGTGTTCGTGCAGAGTTCTTTCCTTTCGAACTTTCTCATCGACAATCAAACACCATTTCGTTCGACCGACCTCAAAGCGCTGTAGCATTTATCAGTTTCAGACCGGCTTTGCGTGAGAAGAAAGCAGACTTGGACAAAACTTTTCAACACAACTTCTGCGCGCAGGAGTCACTGGCAACTGAGCATCGCCGCGGTAGAGGAGGAGCTTGGGAATGCAACGGTAGAACAATGGAGATTGGCAAATTTCATCCTGGCCACAAAGGAAATAAGCAATTGTTGCCTAAAATTGCTCTTAAATTCGGTAAAAACGCTTTAATAAAAATGCGGTCACGCTCGAGGCTGTTGCGGCGCATATTGATTGCGTCGTTTCCGTCTGTGACGGCTACCAACAAACCAGCGAGGATTGCAGAGTGACGGCACGGCGCGCGGTTGCAAAGTTTGCGCGCTTTTGCGACCATGGTCGTCGCCGAGCCGTTACCTGGTCGTTCGAACTGCAACGTCTGTCGATCTTCTCAACTGAGGCAACATGCTCAGTCGATCGCTACTAACTGCTGTTTCAATAATTGGCTAAATGCATTTAAACGTTCGCTTTATCACATCCATCTTTTTATCATCAAATACTCTTACATTTGGCATTTTTGCTGTCACTTCCTCGATCTTTGCTAATGAGAAAAGAACCCGTTGAAACAAGAAAATCTGATTGCATACTTCGTTTTTTCGTCGTACTACGTGTGCCCGCATATCTTGACAATGTTCCGTGTCATGGTCCTCACGCTGAAAAACTGAAAAGTCGTAAAGAACGGAGGTAGCTGTCAAGGCTGTAACTGAGCAGCTGACAAGCGAGGAATTCACCCAGAAATGTCGTCTGTACAAATGTGTCACTCGGTCGGTCGTTTCCTTTTTTCTTGGCAACAAACGACGATATTCATCTCCGGGCCGGCCGAGAGAGCGTTGCCTTCGCCAGAATAGCTTCAATGACCGAAGAACAATGCATTGTTTAAACGAACCTCTGCCAGCCTTTCCCTGCCCTATTGGTAACGCGAGGCGAGGTATCGTCTTTCGACTCCCAGTACGTAGCGTATGCGCTGACCATCGCAGGCTGCTCTCCTCGCGATTCATCTAGTTTTGCATAGCCGTTTTCATCATCTAAGGATAATGGTATTCAGAACAGTTTGCCACATGAGCAAATTAGCTTGGCGGCAATTCATCAAAAGACTGTGCAAGATTGCTGGGAATAATTCATATTATCTACCAACCGTTTCTGGAAATCATTAACCAGATTCGTTAGGTCCCGCATGGCTTTGATATCGTCGGCTCTGGTGCCATTGTACGGCACATGTGCACCTTATACCCTCGGTAGTCAGAAACAGCCGTGGTCTAAATTCTGAGTCTTATTATGAAAGGAGACGTAAGCAAAATGGTCTAGCTGACCATTGACCCTAAAGTAGGAACCTCACGTAAATGCAGCACGCCTAAAGATGCATTTCACGTTTACGTGTTTAACTTAAATCAAATTTACAGTTTTGTTATCACAGGCACAAACAGAATGAAGATGTAAACGCGCGTATAACAACTTTCCGGTCGAAAGCCTTCTCAATGAATAAACAACCACTTCCCTCACTCAGATGCAGTCCCGTCTAATTGCTGCTTCTTCGTCATTGTTTCGTGCCTTATCTTTTTTGTTCAATCTGTGCCCTCCGTCTGTATCCTGCATATCTGCGCTATCGACCTTTGACCGAAGATGTCTTCTCCTCCTCGCGGGTAGGGTTGGCTGATCCGTGAAGTAGCTGGGTAGTCTTCAACGAATTCTTCGCGGTATCAAATAACAACGGTGGTCTTCAGTTAAAACGATGCAAACCCGTCCTAACGCATAGCTTTAGACGTTTAGTGGCAGTATAAAAATGTAACACATCTCTAGAAAGTTAAAT